TCTGGACAAGAATTGGTTGCAACAGGAACGGATAAGAATTAAAATAAAACTCTGTGCCCAGGCTGGGATCTAAACATAGCAAGGGGAATGGGAAAGGCAAAAATGGACAGAGGGGATTGACTGTACCTAAAATGTGAATATTAAGGCCTGGAACTCTGAATGTGTGAGGGAATGGTTAAGTTTTCCCTCAATGTCTTGATCTTGGCCCAGTGAGGGAATTTGCACTTTGTATCTGAAAAGTTTCAGTCTTGGACTCTTGGTTTAGGTATAGACATGCAGGCAGAATTCCCCACATGCAGCTGTATTCTCTAGGCAGGCATATTTAGAGCTGCCCAACAAACACCTCCTTCTGTGTAGACTGAGATTAAAGTTCTCTCTGAGGAGTTAGGCGTGGTTTAGAGCTGGAAAATTACATATACCCACCAAAAACTTTAAGGAATGATTATACCATATTAAAAAAATAAATACTTTCTCTTCTTATTTCTGATGTGTCTCAACGTTCTTTTACACAGAAACTTACTTTAGAAGGTGGGGAAATAGAATCAGATTTGCATTGGGAAGCTTTTTCTTTTTAATACTGCGAATTTGTACCTGATCAGGCACTTTCAGGGATCCATAACTAGTGTGTTTGCTTTAGGGCTGCCTTAAGAATCTGCTTCTTCTGATTCCTTGTGAACATGTACAGTGTGGCAACACCTTCCTTTATGATCTTTTAACCTCCCAAGCCTCCCACTGTCTTGTCAGTGTTACCTAGATCATCTTTTCCCCTGAACCTTTGTGGTGAAGATGGTTTGCAGACTGTGAAAGGTAGGAGGTCTTAGGCTTATGAGCTTGTAGCTAAAAACTGCTCTGTTCTGAAAGTGCTTTTGATATATTTAGTGTGAGCATAAGAGGCAGGAAGGACTCCAAAGTACCACAGTGGAAAACTTGTAAAAAGTTGTTTTCCTCTCATGTACAATTAAATAAAAGTTGAGCTTCTAAAGCTACTTCTGAAATGGCTGGAAATATGGGAGGACAGTTTTGCAATAGCTCAGGTCATTGGATTCCTCTTGCTTTCTCTGCACTGTTTGCTTTGTAGGAATACTTTATTTCCATTGCCTTTTGTTGGTTTGGGGAGCCAGAGGTTGTGAAACAGCTTTGCAGGTTTTTGGAGCAGCTGATGCTCCTGCCCAGTGTGGGCTCCTGGCTTTGGGTGGAGCCTGAGCTGGCCCAGGACAGGAGAACAGGGGTTGTTGGACAGAGAAGTGCGAGGCCAAAACACCAGCGGGGTGTGCTCGTTGTCTGCACTGCTGCTTTGATGGAAGGATGATAAAATAGTAATAAGCTGTTCTGACAATTTGGGAACATTTGGAGTGTCAGCAGTCTGGTTGTTGACCTACTGATGCCTGCTGCTTCATTTTTTAACTCATTTCATCATGACTGCTAACAGCAGTAAGAGCAGTGTTTTAGGGGTGGGCTCCTGACTTGTCTTATGGGCGATGACAACCAATTCCCTTGGGTGTGTTGTGCACTGTAGTGTTTACACCCTCATTTGCTGGGCTGTGTAAACCTTCTTTGTAGAGGGTACAGAACCACTGCTGAGGGTCTGGGCCTGTGAGTTAGCCCTGGTAGCAATAAAGGACATCAGTAGAGGGAATTGGGATTACTGACAGTTGGACTTGATGATCCTTGTGGGTCCCTTCCAACTTGGCAGGTTCTGTGGTGATGTTCATTCCCTCAGCTTGGTCAGAAGTATCAGAAGTGCATACACCATTTATGCTGTGCAGGACCATTCTTTCCATTTTTCTATCACTTAAAAAACTGATTTTCATCTTCCAGAAAGGGGATACGCTCAGGGCCTCTTCTGGTTTCTGTATGTGATCTGTTGGAATATCAGAGCAAAATTAAAGGGTTATGGGTTCAGTATGGACTGAAGGAAGGCTGGCTGGGGACATGAAGTGAGGGATTGAGAGTGGGGGGAGAGAGAATAGGGTGAAAGGTGATGAGTGGGGTACTTGAGGGTGAGAAGAATACAGGAGAGAAGGAAGCAGAGAGCAGAATAATAATGGGAGAAGGTGTGGAGGAAGAGGGAGACTCCATTTATGTCTTAGGATAAGGAAGGGATGTTCTTCCATCCACGTACCACAGGGAAGGAGTGACAGGTGGATTCTGCAGCTGAAATGCTTCCTGACTTCCCTAAAGCATCCAGACCATAAGAAAGACCCAACTTGCTTTTGAAAAAGTTATCTTGTTTTAAGGCAAGATTGTGACTTTATGGATCCAACTGATTCCCATTACTCATTTGCACTATTCTGTTTCATCTGAGACTGTAGCCTCAAGAGATGTGAGCAGGGGTGGGAGTATTATGAAACAAAGTGATTTGATTATTTGGGGTGGGGTGGGAGGGTGGCAGCTTTGTTTTAACTTAGCAAATTGTTTAAAAGCACAGACAGATGAAAAGGAGACAGCTAATCTGGTTAAGAATAGCCACTATGCCTTCTGATATTGATTTCTTTCCTCACTCTGTCGTCTTTTAACCTCATTTTCTTACAATTTTAGAAAAACCATCTTGAACCATACTGAACAAATAGAGGATACAGATAGAATAGCTTCCTTTAAAGAAGTGATTGAACTTCTTTTTAACTTACCACTTGATTTCTTTTTTTTTTACGTTCTTCAATTTATCCTAAATTTTCCTTGCAATAAAAACTCAAGATATACATTTTCTGCCTTTTAGCCTAAAATCATCGGCTTTTACGTGCTTGTTATGTCATCTGTTTACAATACATTTAATGCTAAAAGATTTATTTTTAGCTGGCTCAGTAAAATAGCTGGTTGCTGGAGTTGTTGTCATAGCAGCAATCTTAACAGATAGGTTGATCCTATTTAGCTTTTGCAGCTAAAGAGCGGCCGTTAGGCAACAGTTTGACAGTTCTGCAGCATTTTTCTAAAGATGGAAATTGTGGTGGTGGTGAATTTTTTCTTTTTTTTTTTTTTTTTGGCCCTGCTTTTAAAATATTTCTTTCTGTAGGTGTGTGGAGTTCGATTCAACATTTTCCCCTAACAACTTAGGAGAACTTTGAATACACAACATGTGAGATTTCAGGATTTAAGGCTTAATTTGTAGAAGCTTGAAAATAAATTACATGGTGCAACATATTGCAAGCTGCTTTGATTTTTTTAATTTTTTTTTTTTTAAAGCCAGAAGTATTCTGAGAGAAAAATGCCAGACTAGAGAACAGGGTTGTGCATCATTTATTCTGCACTAATTTTAAGTCGTGGCAGACTGGGCAAATATTACTGAAGAAGTTTGTGGGTTGTTTTTGATGAAATGCACTGCCTGGGTTAGATGATAGCTTTGGATTTTAGTAATTTAATTCTTACTTTTTTAATGTGAAGAGAAAAGGGTACTTCTATACTGACAAGCAAAGAAACAGCAATTTCAGATTAGTCTGTAAAATCAGGCATATCTCTGTATGTTCTCTGTAGCTCTGAGCTGTTACAGAAGTTCAGTTACTCTTAAACATATGTCTGAATGCAGTTAATTTTGTCTGAGATGAGAAATGAATTTACTGTGAGGAATTTCTCCTGTCTGTATCTTCAGTCAGATGGTGTTGGACCTGAATCGTTGTTATTGGTGTGGTTGAGCAAAAGACTTATCCTCAAACTCCCTCCAGCCTTTTGCTAGACAGAATAGTTTTAAAAATAATTTGTTGAAAAACCTGAGTTTAATGCTAAGAGAAGGGTTTGGGTGTTGTTGGCTTAGGGTGCTTCAAATATGATTAAGAGTCAGAAAGTGTATTTAACCTTCTAATTACTTTTTTGTTCTCAAGGCCTGTTGTTAAAATGTATTGTTATCACAGACTGACACGTCAGGGGTTTGTGCTCCTTCATTTCCAGTGAATCATGGCAACTTTCATCACCCACCTCCCCAGTCTGGGCTGTTCTGGGCAATTGTCAGCACGTCGTGTTCCACTCCTGGTTCAAAGCCAGGCTGAGAGCGGCAAAGGCGACTTCTGTAACTCTGACTGGTGTGGATTTGATGTTGTGCCACTGCTTTGTGCACCACTATGGAGTAACCTACTGACTGGATCTGGCAGAATTTCCCAGCAGATGGAAATGGAATGCCATGTTAATGTCCAGGTTGTCATACAAATTTTGAGTGTATTGAGGAGGTCGGTGCTGTCGAAACGGAGTTCTTGCTGTGGTTCCACCACCCAAATTGCTGCCTCTTCACCCTCCCTGCTGGGTGACTTTCCCTGGGCTCTGATGTTCATCTGAATCTTCTCCATCTCCCCAGTCCCCCTAAATTCACTACCTTGACCAAAGCTTCATGTGAGTGTGTCTTTACCTGCCAGGTTGGCAGCTGGACCAGCTCAGCCAAGGGACGCATTGCTGCAGGGTAGGGACTGTGCAAGAGCAGATGGATCCAGACCTCACTGCCCTGCTTATCCAGCATCCTGGTGGGATTTTATCCCATGCTACACTAGCCATAGTGCCTGGAGGTTTTGCACCAGCAGGAATGTCTGTGTGGCTCAGGATGAACTGGGTGGAGGAACTGGAATGGGTTAATCGCAGAGGAGCAGCGGGTTCATTTCACACTCATCTTCCTCCTGGCTTGTACAGAGCTTTGCAGGTCGTTCTGCTGATACATGGTTGGTGTGGGAGCAGGAATGCCCTGGTGGAGTGAGGACAAGGTAGAATTATTGGTGTATTTTATTTGCTGACCCTACTGGAAGTGTTCATCAACTACGTACTGAGGGCTGGGAGCGAGCTGACTCTTGTCTGCTCCTAATGAGTTCCCTACCAAGGTGTGGGAATGTTTTGGACAAATGGAAGAGTTTTCTCTGTCAGTATGTCCAACTGGTGGTTTTCTCAGGTGGGGATATCACTGTTTCCCTGCTGGTCTGCAGCGTTCCCAAGGCAGCGGGTGACAGGGGAAGGTGGCAGCGAGCTCTGCGTCCGGAGAGCGGGAAACGCGTTTCTGTCACTCACGTTCTGTGTCTGCTTTGCTGTTTCAGGCAAAGTCGTGCATTTGTCATATGTGTGGTGCCCACCTGAACAGACTCCACTCTTGCCTCTACTGTGTCTTCTTTGGCTGTTTTACAAAGAAACATATTCACGAGCACGCGAAGACAAAGCGACACAATTTAGGTAAGTTCTCACCCTGATGTACCCGCTGGTGCTTCCTTATCCCTGTGTTATCCCTGTCTGCTCCAGGCCAGTAGGGTGATGCTTCCTTGTAGCTACCTTGGTAGGCTGGGAGATGGTTTTGTTGGTGTTTTGGGTTAGTTTAGTGGCGTTATTTTAAACTTGGTGCTTGAGCTTTCATTGCATCGCTGTAAAGTTTTTGTTCACAGCTTAAAACCTGAATTATTGCTGTTTAGTACCTTTTATTTATGAATTAACGTCATGTATAGGGAAAATTAGTAAAAATGTGAGGAGGCAGAGGGTTGGTTTTTTTTTCCTTAAGTGTTAGAAATGGTGGGTTTAGTGCCTAGAACTGGAACATTTATTTCAGTAAACTTTATTTTCAGGAGGTCATGTTGACATTTTTTTCTTGCTGAGGAGAAAACCGTCATTCTGATCACAAAGAACACTAACCAAGTACCAATCAGAATTATGTAAACTTTTGACGTTTTGGGGAGTTTGTTGTTTTTTTCTTTTTTTTTCCCTTCATTTTTCTGTTTTGGTTTCTTTTTTCCGGTGGGGTCAGTAACCTAAGTAATAAGAAAGCATTTTAATTGATATGGAGTACCTTTCCCTCAACCATCTCAAACTTTGGTAAAATGCCAGCAAGTTCTTCTGTTCTGTCAGCTTTGGTGCTACATAGTGTTCAAAACCAAGAGCATTCCTTTTTGTTTTAAATTACCTATTGCCTATAGTTTAAAACATTTTAGGGTTATAATGCGAACTCCTGATCATTTCACCTTAAAATTCCAGTTTCATCAGTATGGATGTGCACAATTTTGCTTGGTGGGCAACTAATTTGTTTGTAGTGATATCAGAAACAGGAAAAAAAAGGCATTATGTTATGGCATAAATTTTCTTTTGACCAGCGTGGCCACCGTTCCCAATTTAATTTATCCTAAGTGCTTATGGAACAAACTGCCTTTATTTTCCATGAAGACAGAGATGCTCCAGAAGGCCAACAGTGCTGTCTGTGTACTGTGTGCTTAAGAAACAGGCGTGTAAATTTACTATTTATGGAAAAGATGATTTAAACCAGCAGATCATTATAGTTTCTCCCTCCATATGTGTCAAGAAAGAAAAAAAAAAAAAAAGGCTCCATAGTGGTATAGTTGAAGTTTGTAAATGTCTTGAAAAAGAGAATACTGGAAAATAGTATTGAATATCCGTGATGGTCTGGCTGGGAGGGAGCACTGGGGCTGTTCAGCTCAGGGGAACCTCAGCAGTGTGTGCAAACATCTGATAGAATGGTTTAAAAAAAGGTGGGGTCGGGCTCTTTTCAGCAGTGTCTGGTGATTGTACAAGAGGCAGCGAGGACAAAATGAAATCCTGGAGGTTGTCTGAGCATCACACGATGTGTTTTTCCTGTGAGGGTGGCCAAGGACTGGAACAAGTTGCCCTGAGAGGTTTTGGAGTGTCTATCCTTGAATATTATTTGGAAGCTGGACGTGGGCCTGCTGTAGCAGGGGCTGCACAAGGTCACCTCAGAGGTCTCTGCCAGCCTCAGCTGTTCTTCAAAACTGAAAAAAAACCCCAACCTGACCCTGTATGGCGTGTTTTTATGGCTTTTCTGAGAGTTTAATTTGAAAGAGCTTTTAAAAGTCAGTTCATCAGAGGAAATTATTTTGGAATCGTTACCACCCCAGAAGTACAAATTACTCGAGGTAAACTTGAAGGATTTCTGGTAAAGGAGCATATATTTATATAAATATATATATATGTAAAGCAGCCTTTTGTGCTAATGTAAGTTTATGACCAGATTTAAGGTCTAAATAATTACTGTACTAAATTGAGACTGTTGACAGTATTTACCTGTTTGTCTGTGGACACTTTGTAAACACTATAATGTTTTTACCACTAAACTTACACCATATTTATGAAGAACCTTTTAAAAAAGCTTTATAATTGCCTGTGTCATCAGCTGCTGTTTATGTGTTTGGGAAGCTTAAATTCAAGTTCATTTTTGTGCAAGGTAGAATTTGCTGTTGCCTGCTATAGTGAATTATCTTCTGTTTCCTTAAAGGAGACCAAAAGTGGGCAGAGGAGGGAGGTTCTGTGAAGATGCTCTTGCTTAAGGATTGTTGTAGTCATTGCCATGGCATTAGACAATTAGGACTGTGTCAGATAAGGTACTTCCCAAAAGGAATAGCCTTTAGATAAAAAGGGCAAGAGTTAATTATACAAGCCAAAGTGTACAATACAATACTGTGTCAGCCCAAAAAGGATTATTTTGCAGCTAAATATAATTTACTTGGTGCACAAATACACATGATGTGAAGGTTGTACACGTTGACTGATTTCTAGTTTTGGAGATTCCTTTTTATCTTTTTTTTTTTAAATACATGTTTTGGTGCTTAATTTCCAGCTGCATGTGAAACGAGCTGTAAAAATATTTCTGTCGTTTTGCTGGTGCTTTTGGTTGCTTTTCCTGCTGCAATTTTAGTTGGGGAAATAACATCTGATGGGCAAAAACAAGTTAAGTGCTTTGAAATTTCAAAATGAACAGGCATTATTTTAAAGCACTTGGTGACTTTTTGCTGAGCCAACATCAGTCTCCATGGAGACAAGCAGGAGCTGCACAGTTGATCACAGTTGTAAGAAATGCCATAGATTTCAGCTGTAACAGCTGTCTGAGCAGGGAAGTGGTGGGTTTGCAGCTCACTGCTGTGTGTTCCAGGAGGCTCCAGCATCATATTCCAGAGTGGTTTTAAAGCACATCCCTTGTTAGCTCTGCATTCCTGAGCAATCTAAATTAGACCCTCACACTGTGACCTTACAGTGCTCTGCATCTGCCTCCCTGTTCAGTGTGTATTGATAATACTGGACTTAATGTATTCCTCGAGTTGTGGCTGTGGGTGACAGGGAGGTGATGTAAGATCCATCTGTAGGAGCTGCTTTTTTTAATCTCTGCATTGCACAGTCTCTGTTAGTCAGTCACTGGGATAGGCTGATATTCCCACTGGGCTCTGATTCTTTTGTGAGGAATTGTGAAACAGTGAGGAAAAAATCCTTATGGAGCTCTTCTGGGATTCGTGATCTTTTTGATGCTGTCAGATGTTTCCTTTTCCCCACCTGGAGGATCCTGAACTAGTTTTAGCTTTTCTTATTGAAACTCTTCTAAGATACTCAACATCCTCTTCATACTTTAGTTCTAATGTGTCCATCTGTGGTGACTGCTCTGGATTTAGACAGTTTGCTATGCTGATGACTTGTGTTCTTAGTTAATACTTCCATGACTTCTGTTTTGTGCTTCTTAATAAGCTGTTCAACACTGAGCTGATGTTGTTACTTAGGAGTTCAACTCGGTGACTCCAAAACTTCTTCCCAGAGTGGTAATTGCTACTTGTCTCCTACCTAATTGACAGTGATTGGAGTTTCACTCTTGCTGGTGTTGCCTATTTGCTAAGTAACTTGAAATCCTTCTGGAGGGTTGTGTTTTTTTTAATTATTATTCTAAATGAATGTGTGCCATCAGCATACTCTGTCACCTTCCTTGGTAATCCTTCCCAATCAGGTTCAGCGTCTGGGGAATCTGCTGGTGGTTTCTGTCCTTGTGAAAATTGATGGTCTCTTCCTTCCTTATCTCTTCTACAGCTGCTCAATGAAGGAAAATACACAGTAACTTAGTCCCAGAGTAGCAGGAGCAGGAAGATGACTGTGAACAGTAGCTCTAAAAGAGAAGAGAGGTTGGTGCTATAAAGTTCATCTCAAAACCCTAGCAGTGATTATTTTATCAGTTTCCTGGTTGGGACTATAAAATCCTGGGCAGGCACCAAATGATGTTTTAGTATTCTCTCTGAGTGAATATTTTCTGTTACATAATGCTGAAAAATATTTTTGGGGTGGGGGGAGAATATTGTGTGAGAAAACAGAATTGATTATTTGGAGAGTGGAATATTTATGTACATTTCTTGGGAATTTTCCTCTACTTTTTATATATTTATAAAATATACACACACACTCTTAGCTGCAAGAAAAATCACTGTTACAAGGCTTAGGAAAGTCTCTTGCAGATAACCATTCTGGGTGAGATTAGTTAATTATGGTATCAAAGCTCTCTGTAGAGCTATTTAAACTCCTGGTGAGGAGCCAATTCATGCACACCCATGCTGTGCCTCTCTTGGTTAGAGGTGCACTTTGAACACGTGAACGGTGTCTCTGAAACAGCACCTGGTGCAGGTTTGGGTTGGGTCTTGGTCTGCTCTAAGGCCCCGTTCTGGAGTTCAGGAGCAGGGGAAGGTGAATTAGCAGGGCTGAGGTTGAGTGGTTTAAAGACTAAACAAGAAATAGTTGGAAGGCTGAAGTACCATTCCATTTCTAAGTTCACTTCAAAATTAGTCCTGTTAGAATACATTCATTATTTATTAGATCACAGACTATTTGTTGAGGAACTGTTTTCTCTAAGTATATGCTCATGTGAGATTCAGTCCAATAAATACATTTGTGTTAAGAGGAACTGGGTGGGTGAGCCTAATAAAAATGCTCACAGATTAGGTTGAGGATTTTTGGTACCATTTGAAAAGCTTCTACTTCCTGTAGAAAACAAATAACTACTTTTTTTTTTCATCTGATTCAGAGGAAACATGACAGAAAAACTGGTTTCTATACTCAAAGTTGGTCAAAGGAAAAAAAATCTGGTTACTGCTTGTTAGTGCATACCTGTCTGCTGAAATTTAATGTGTAGAAACAACACCTCTGTAAAGGAATGACAGTAAAAGTTGTTTAATTTTCATTTGAGTTGGAAGGTACTGACTGCAGTGTTGGTTCTGCCAGTTCTTTTGTAAACAGCAAAGACTTTCATTACCCTCTGTGTGGAAGGGGCAATTAAAGCTGGGCCCAGCACAATGTGTTGTTGGTTCTTCTGTTCATATCTAGGCTCAGAGAGGGGTAGAAAAGGTCATCTGGGCATTTTACCAGCCTCTTGATTTGACTTCTAATGCTTTACTTGAGGATGATGGTGTGGA